ATTTTGTTTTGTTTTTCGTGTATTTTGTTTGGAAGTCGGTTTTGTTTTTGACCTTTCACTTCACTCGTAAAACAGTTAAACGGAAACATTTAATAAAAACATTGAAACTTAGTCCAAAATATAACAATGAGTAGCTATCGCCCGCGAATCCGTCCGCGTGGAATTGAAAAAACAACAAGTGAATAGATGATTATGTGTTCTTCCAGACTACGCTCTACATCTGAGCAAAATTTCATCGAGATCCGTTCAGCCGTTTAGGTTACAAACTCTAACAAACATCCATCCATCTAAACTTTCACATTTAAAATATTAGTTAGAAGTATGAATTACGATTTGTAAAAACACAGTTTTATTGAGAATTTTGTGAGGTACGTGATAATTTAATTTATCCTCGAAAATTCAAGGCGTCAGAAAACCTTTTTTTAATTTAAACTAATATATTATTATATACTGAATAAGTGTTAATTTATATTATAAGGAATTATGTTGTTTTTGTATGAAAATTTATGATAAAATGCGTAGATAAAATAAAGGGGGGTCTTTGTTATAGGTGAGAAGATTTTTCGAGTAATTTCAAACAATGGCAGTAATAACTTTTTAAATTTTAAATGTTTACGGAGAAGTTCACACGTCAATAAATAGTATTTTGATACCATCCTTTATTACTTTTAGTTAAATATATACACTCGAGAATATGTGTAAGTAAGGAATAAGGAAAAAAATATTAGTAACCTAGGTTTTAGTAAAACTACGTAATAACTAGAAGAATCACGAGGTTCGTATTCTTCGTTTCGATTATAAACCTAATGGTCGAAATCTGAAACTTTAAACACTTCATAAACGCCATTTTAATCTGCCAGGTGTTATTTTATTGTAATTTAAAATTCAAGCGTGGCCTTACCATTTGTACACCTTCAGTATTTGACTATAAATTAACTGTGGTAGTGCCCGCTTTAACATCTTGACACGAATGGGCCGGCACGCCCGGTGTAATACCACGACCACACAGAAGACAGGCGTGAAATGGGAACAATTCCGTGTTTCGTCTGATGAGTGTGGTGCCGGAGGCCTAATTTAAGTCCCTTTCTTTTTACCACCCTTTTCTTATAAGAGGAGAATGGGAAGGGGAAGTGGATTTGACGATGCAGGAGATGCATAGGAAGGGGCAATGTCCTCTTTATTGGCGTTTCCTCCTCCGTCGGATAAGGGTAGGCAACGCATCTGCAATCGCGGATGTCTATGGGCAGCGGTCGCTTCGCCATTTTGGCGGATTCAGGTGGCCGCTTGCTCGTTTGCCGCCTTATGTTATAAAAAAAAGATGAGAATGGGACTGACGACACATATTGTCGCGCGTGGTTAGTGAGCATTTTACTGGTATGTGTATACGCTTTTCACCAGTAGCCAGTATTTTAATTTTAGTTTAACTCAGTAATAAATTCAATTTGACCTTTAAACGTTGCTGGTGGTAATTAAATTAAAAAGATTAATTTGATCAAATAAACCACCAGCTATCTAATCTGTGCTTTTCGGTATCAATGATTGTTTGAAAAAAACAACTTTATCCTGCCTGAAGGGATCAAAGTACAAAGTACTCTAAACACTTAGCATTATTTAGTACATGTATTTTATCTGTGGTAGTGGGGACATCGGAATCTTTGCGTGACTTTTCATTATAAATACTCGTAACTGTGTCATTTTGATTCAAAGCATTATCGGTTTGAATGCTATCGCCCAGTTAGAGATATTTTTACAGGACAAATGTTGTGCGACTGTCGATTGTTTCGCAGCCCCTTCAACTGTTTAGTTGCACAACTAAAAATGGAGTAGTGTAACCTCCATATAAGGGATCAAAGCGAGACTAAACAGTCGTGCGATAGTGTGCTCTAAGCGTGGTCTCGTTTAAGACGCTGTTACATATTTTAATGTTTAAATTTTTGTCCGTAAGTTATTTAAAAGATACAATAATGGTTATTTATACTGATAGAGCCTTATGTAAATATTAATATATCTAAAGAATAGAATTGTAGATAATTTGACAAAATGTCGTTATCATGAGATATGTGATACGTGAGTTTCAATAATAATTGATTAATACCATGTCAGCTATAAATAAAAAAAATAGTTTTTGCAGACAATTTTAATATTAAAACCATTATATTGTCTAATGGTTTTTAGGTTATAACTGATAGAAGTGTTAAATAAATTGACATAAAAAAGTAAATATTCGTATTTTAGTTTTAATGATTTTTACTTGTGTCTTGTCTTTGTTAACATTTGACCTTGACGATGTCTGTAGTTTCAAAATGGATTTTATTTTAATTTTATAAGTGCGAAATTACTTCTTGGTGTCTAGAGAAAATCTTTGAAGTTGCCATACTTTTTGGCGGGAAAAAAGGGTTATGTGGGGTTTGTCCCACTAAAACATTGTTTTGGTTGTCAACCTTGAGTGTAATAGAAGAGAGTTCCGGGATCTCCTTTTAATGCACCGGAACAAGTCGAAAATAACCTAGCTGTTATATACCCTACTTTTACTGTACAATAAAAAGTGTTTAGTTTAGTCCCACGCCCAATTTAAGCCCCTTTTCCTTCCCAACCGTTTTCAAGACAAGGAAGGGAACGTGGATTTTACGGTGGAGGAAGACACATAGGAAAGGGAAATATGCTCTTCAAACGCGTCTCCTCACCTCTATTATTGCGAATGTCTATGGGCAGCGGTCGCTTTGCCATTTTGTCGGTTAAGTGGCCACTTGCTGTTTGCCACCTTATGATATAAAAAAAGTTAATGAGGTCATTTAAGTGATTATGTGTCTTCCATTCCTTTTGTTTAAGTATATAATTATTTAGTTAAAGAAATCGTATACTGAAAAACATCCTATTATTTTGACAAAAACAATCGCGTTTACGCAGTTTTAGTAGTCACATAACACTGGTTTTATCTGTTTTCGATACTGGCCACCGGTTTTTACTTTTACAAAGGTAAATGAATTATGTAATAATAAATGTTGAACGGCGTCAACTTACGTTTTCGTAACGGAATATTAAACGAATGCATACTAAAGCAGTGTCAATTGTATTGTTCACTTTTTGTTTTGACTCAGTATACCATTTCAAATATTGTGGCAGCTCAAGAATATCTGCGCATTGCGTTGTCATCCGGCGCTTTACGCCAGAATGCATCTAATTGTATTCTGCATAATAGTCGACTAATGCGAAAGTTTGGATGGATTAATGGATGTTTGAATTCGTGCCCTAAATTACTGAACGGATCTCGATGTTTAGGTAGATGTAGAGGATAATCTAGAACACAGGCTACTTTCTTTTGTTTATTTAGGTTCCACGCAGACGGACTCACAGACGAAAGTTAGTATACAATAAAAGACATAATTAAAATATGTATAAAAGTATTTATTAACATTAAACAATTACATAAAAAACCCTCTGGAATGATTAAACAATTAAAATTAATATAAATCGTTCCACGACTCAATTATTTTACATAAAATATATCCGTGCGATGAGAATGTATAAAAAAATACATAATGGTCAACATTTGATGAAGTCCCACAACCCGAAACACCCGCCAACATCCGGTTAATACCGGTTCAAAGCTTGGAGCGTATCGACTCGATCCGTCCGGCGGCAGAACGCTGCAAATCTGTTAATTTCATCGCCAGCCCCATATTACCCTGGATCTTTATCTTACCCTGGAAGAACGCCTTCTGAGGGTTCAGCTTACCAGAGATCAGTTCTACTACGTCATCATCACTAATAGTAAAGGTTACATCGGGTTTCTCTTTACCATTGTATGTGATCTTGCCTTTCCCATCCTTAGCATTTACAACCCAATAACCTTCCGCACCATTAGGGCCATTCCGCACTTTAAAACCATAGATTCCTCTGACTTTTTCGATCAGATTCTCCTCATCTGACTGCATTGCTTCTTCAAGTATTTTCATGTACTTGAAGACTTTGAAATTTTCAGGGTTGTCAGTGATAGCGGCCACCGGGTTAGGGCCCGCATTCTCGAAGCCCTTCCTATACATGGCGATAACAACAGCACCACCCAGGCCCAGATTGTGCTGCAAAGCGATACGTGCTCGCGGCACCTGTACAACAAACACACTGAATTCAATGGCAACACAAAAACAGCTAAACATTAACACGGTTTAGTGATTTCACATAACATTGAATTAATTGCTTAATATCTTAATCTTGGTTTAATAAAATGTTGCCTAATGTTATCTTTAAATCAATGTAGGTCAAATGAGATTCTTTTTAAAAAGAATAGCTTCTGCACTAACTTCATTCATGGAGAATAGAAAACTTATTATGCCTTCTATACTGACATATATCTGTGCTAAATTATATCAAGATATATTGAACCGTTCTGGGGATGTCACCTTAAATCTATTGTCTAAACTCTCGTATTTATACATACTAATATTATAAATGCGAAAGTTTCAATGAATGGATGTTTCGATCGATGGATGGATGTTTGTTAGGTTTGTAGTCTAAACGGCTGAACGGATCTCGATCAAATTTGACACAGATGTAGAGGATAGTCTGGAAGAACACATAGGCTACTTACTTTTTTTTAATTTCACGCGGACGGAGTCGCGGGCGAAAGCTAGTATTAAATAAAATATGGGACAAACAAGCAGAACATCAAGTGATCAACACTCAATAAACCTTCTTATGGAGGGAAACAGCCATAACATTTATAAGCAAGACCTCAATCCATCTACTAACACTACAGACCAACAGTCTGTAGTTTGGCTTCCAATATGGTTCAGACAATACAAATCACAATGGACTTTGAACGGTACAATAATAAATTATTAAATTATTTATACATGGAATGACCCTATATCATTGACTACATAAAGTGAATAAAACTAAAAAAAAACTATAAACACACTTATTGCGCTGCTTCTTAATCATAAAGAAACAATTAATATGTTTATTAAAATTCAAGGTTATTTGAAAGAGTTTGAGCAATTGGTTTGAAAAAAAATTAAACAATGAAAATGATTCTTCAAAAAAAAGGTTCCAGAATATTAGATTATATAAAAAAAATGACCTAAAAGTAAAAAACTACTCAAAATACGTAATTAAACACATTCTAGACTTTTTAGCAGCATGTGAAAGAATCTAGTATAAATAGTAAAAATTAAGAGCTGGTGCACCTCTTTGACTAAACTATCGTACAACTGTTGTCAATTGTTTCACAGCTGATTCAACTGTTTAGTAGCACTACTAAAAAAAAACATACAGACGAATTGTGTACCTCCTTCTTTCGGGAAGTATGTCAAAAGTCGATTAGTGTGCACACTGTGCGATAGTTTACTTTCAGGTGTCTCTACACTCTAACCCCTTTAACAAAAAAGCTATTTTACAAATCACGAAAAACATAATAGTGGACAATCAAAAAAAGTCATAAACACTAGAGTAGAACACACTTAAAGCACACCTTGAGCCAGCAATGAAGTATTTCAATGGATTTGAAAAATCCAATGCCAATTTACATACAGGCTGTCAACAATTGTATCACAAACCTGTCTGGCATCCGCCTCTCCTCGCAGCTGCCACACCAGTTCAGCACACTGCGCCAACCCAGTGGCTCCTAGGGGATGGCCCTTAGCGATCAATCCCCCGCTAGGATTCACTACTACCCTCCCCCCGTAAGTATTATCTCCTGAATCAATAAACTTTCCAGCCTCCCCCTCGCCACACAATTGCAGCCCTTCATATGTAATCATTTCATTAGCTGCAAAGCAATCATGCAGCTCAACTACATCTACTTGCTTTGGTGATATTCCAGTCTTTTCATACAACCGCTTTGCTGCAAACGCAGTCATATCATAGCCAGCAACTTTCATCAGACTATTTTCAGTAAAAACTGCAGCTGTATCTGTTGCCATTTCCATACCAATGATCTCTACTGCCTTCTTCTGGAGACCATACTTTATAACGGCCTCTTCAGACATAAGAACCGCTGCCCCGGCACCATCACTGGTCGGACAACACTCCAGTTTAGTTAAAGGACCATAGATCTTTCTAGAACTTAAGACCTCTTCTACTGTGTACTCTCTGCCATTCTGTGCACGTGGATTTTTAGCTCCGTGTCGATGATTTTTGGCGGCTATCTTTGCCAAGTGAACCTCGGTGGTTCCATACTTCTTCATATGCTCCATAGCTGCATTACCGAAATACTGCGCTGTCATAGGTGCAGCAGCAAGCTCTATCATGTCTGCCATTTTTAATGTATGTCTATCCAATGGATTTGTTCTGTCTGTGAAACCACTGCCGCCCAGAGCACCCGGCGCCATCTTTTCGAAGCCTACTGCTAACACAATATCAGCTACACCACCTTCTATGAACTGCTTAGCGATAAACAAGGCGTTAGATCCAGTAGAGCAGTTGTTGTTGACGTTGTAGATGGGGATACCGGTCATGCCGACCTGGTACAGCACACGCTGCCCGCATGTGGAGTCCCCGAACACGTAGCCGCAGACCGCCTGCTGTATCACCTCGTACGGGATAAGAGCGTCGGCCAGCGCCGCTTCCACAGCCTCCTTACCCATCTCTGGGTAGTCATTACTGGAGCTCGGTTTGACAAACTTTGTCATTCCGACGCCAACTACGTAAACTTTCCTACCCATTGTGTGATTTTTCTTATAATTACCTCTTGCGCGATAGTCAGTCGACGATAACTACTGCGAAGTCACTGGAAAATCTGGCTTCGATAGTTTGAACTTTGATCCTCAATCGCTTTATAATTATCTTAATTACAAGACAATGTTTAAAACCGAGTTACAAATATAAATGTACCGGGATCCAATAGGGCTACGATCGAACTAACTAATAACGGGACAATAAAACTGAATACGTAACACCTATAAGGATACAAAACCACAAAACACAAAAGACGATAATGGATGATAAACTTGTTTTTGAAAGATGGATGGAATTTGAAGTTTGACCTCTGCGTAATGTTGCTAGAAAGAAGAAACAAAATTCACTGACCGTCATACGCGGATAGGCCTTAAGCAGCAATTTTCTGTGCTTGGAGTACTGCCAAAATTAAATTTAATCTTGTATCACCTAACACCTAACTTACTATTTCTAAATTTCTGCTATAGATTTTACTAGGGTATACATGCTACTTACGTATAGCACGTTTATGTTTCATTTTAATTCCTTAGTTTAAATTTTCAAGTGCAAGTTGTTCAGCACCCATGAATTCAGTAGAATATTCACATATAACAACACCACACTGTTTAAACGTCAAAATTAAAACGTTCAAAAATTAGATACAAATATTACGATGTACTTAAGAAAATTAATTGATAACTAAATTAAAACGGAAAAATATAAAAACATAATAATATTCTTTTACAAGTCCTATGAGTACCCGTTTAATTATTCACAATTTATTTAAATCGCACATTTTCTACAAAGGCCTGGTCATTTATACCGACATAAAATGAAAAATATTCTATTCGATTTACAAAATCCATTACATGTCATACAATCAATGAGATTACAAAATGTTAGATGAAAATTTATAATGTTCTATTAATTTAATTTTCACAAGAAATTTATTCGGCGCTAAAAAAATTATTTGTGTGTAATAAAGGAAATGGCATTGGATAAACAAAAGATATTAAGTGAATTAGGAAGCGTAATGAATCAACTACAAAGTGCAGATTGGTAAGTGCGATTTTACTATTCTTCAATTCTATCCAAGTGTTTGTATTACACAGGCCGATTATTTATGTTCTTACAGTGGTTGTATGGGGAAGTTATTCAATAACAGGAGTTCGCATCCAAACATGGGTAGCCCTACACCAGGGGCCGGAGATTATCGACACGGCGGTTGCTGCCGCTGCCCCGGGTACAATAGATTCGGTTCCTGCGGGGGGGACCCTAACGCAGCCAATGGAATGCAGAATATGAACCACTGTATGGGTCGATGTAATCCAGCAAAACTTTACTCAGACACTTATCAATATTTAAACTCGAATCTCATGCAACCGGTCGTACAAGAGGTGTATAATGATTTGAAAACTATAACACCGGCTAACACTATTATGAATAGTCCACCCGGAAATGCTTTAATGCCTGCACAAGGGCAGACTAATATGTATAATCAAGGTGGTGTTGGAGATCAGAGCAGAGGTATGGGAGGCCACATGGGCGGATTGGGAGGTGGACATATGACAGGCGGTGGTCATATGACAGGAGGTGGTCATATGTCGGGAGGTGGCGGACCAGCGGATATGGGTTCGAATATAGTAAGCATGATGATGAGTGGACAGAAACCAATTGTAAATGAAACTCCGATGGGAGGCGGCAACTCATTAACACAACCAATGCTTATTGATGCCCCTCAGTCACCACACGGAAATGTTGGAGTTGTTCCTTTGTCCAATCAAATGAACGCATACCAAGCTAATGATCCAAAAATGCATTCAATGAATAATCAACAACAATACAGTAATCCAGGACATTTAGTGAACCTTATGGAAGGGGCAAGCCAGCCTACGTTATCTCCTCCTATGTACACCAATCCTCATGCGAACCAGCCCTCGGTTTCTCCCACAGCTTATGCTAATCCTCCAAGTCATCCTTCGATTCCCCCCACATCCTACGCCAATCCACCAGCTAGCCATCCTTCGATTCCTTCTTCAACTTACGCCAATCCTCCAGCAAGCCAGCCTTCTATTTCTCCTACGAATTACGGCAATCCTCTACTGGCTACGCCAAATGTTAATGGCCCACAGGCCCCTGGTGTAAATAAATTCAATCAGATGTTCCCTGGTGTAATGCAGAACTTTGGTGGAGACTTAGGTTTTGATCCTATGGCAATAGCCGTACAAATGAATCCAGCAAATCAACAGCGGACTGCGATAGACACTATCCAAAAACTAATGAGCGGTAACTCGAGAGGTATTAGTAGAACGGCAAACATTTTGAACCAAGGACAGCTGCAAAATGTTGTACCCGCTGATATACCAGCGCAACCCGCTGCTCTCCCAAGCCCAGTCCCACAAAGTACCATCCCTACCGAACACTTGAGTCAACCACAATTGAGTCAACCAGTCGCACCGAGTCCGGAACAAGTGAACTATCAATACAGTAGTGAAGTACGCCCACAACAAGTGTATACCACCTTAACTCAAGATCCTAGTAAACAAATGGTACAACAGCCACAATACCAAGAACCAATATTGCCTGCCCAACCGCAATATATGCCAGAGACTCCAAGCAATGCAATACAAAATGTATCAGGCAATGAGAATGCTTACGAGCCATATGTAACTACACAGGATCCTTACGAAGGTACCGAGCTACCACCGGTTCCTTCATCAATGAAAATAGAAAAAGTGCCAATTTTCCCTGTCGATTTAACTCATACTAGATCGTATTCTCCTATTAAGAGAACAGTCTTTTCGGATCATAATCCTTTAAGTAAACCTCGGTCACAGTCTCCCGTGAAACGACTTGCCTATTCAGATTACAATACGTTAGGTCAACCCATTCTAAGGGTGTCTGCAAGTAGATATATTAAAGCAGAGCCACCCCTACCTCAGACGTTATCGCCACAAGATTCCCCTAAACCGGCGGTATATAGTAATGTTAAAGCTACCGTTAGTAAGACATCTATCATCGGTAATCGGCGAGTTGGAAGAAATCCAAGTAAAAATCAATTACAACATCTATATAACCAGTATAAAGGTTCACAATCTCTTACACATCAAAATCCAACGAACAATAACGAAGTTGCTTCATACTCGGAGGGAAAATTAAACGTACCTCAGCAACAAGCGGTACGAGCTCAGCCGAACAAACAGGCTGTTGAAAAAGTTGCCGGGGACACATTACAGAACACAAATATAGAGTCCACTAACGTCATCGCTGGAAAACCAGATCAATTTGCTGGCCAGTACGGAGATGTACTTAATATCAAAAGAACTACAAATGAAGAACGCTTGGTACGTTTTTACAAATATCGTAACTTTCTTAATCCTTAAACTTCTATGTTACTTGTTCTTTTATTTCCAGCAACCATCGCCAAGGCAACGTAAAGGTTTTAACGGCTTACAAGACCAGGTTTACACGTCGTATCCCAAGTCTACGGCGTGGTCGTTCCACGGGAACCCTCGTTTGCCAATGCCAATTGGAAGTCTTGCTAGAAAAAGATATTAAAAAAATTGTCCTTTGTGATTATTGAAATTGCGTTCCGTTGTTATTTAATGTTATTTATACTGTTGGTTTGTAACGTGTTTGTGAAATTAAAAATTCGTTAAAGGTTCTATGCTTTTCTTAATTCATCCTTCGAGATATTACTACTTATGATATTGAGTACATAAAATATTTGTAGAATCAAACAGATAACTGATTCGCATCCCAATTAAAAAAATTATTACGGAATACTTTGACTCAATATTTTTTTTTTCAAACTTCTGATTTAGTTTTTAAGGACGAATTGGTTTTATTTGGTAACTAATTTCAAATTGCTGTACTTCTTACGAAATGTTTCAAAGTTTTCACGTTTTCGTAACAATCGGCACGTTTTCGTGAAGTCTTAGAAATCAATGGAAAATTTAGAATAGTTTAAAAGTTTTTCTAGAGTTGTCCATGATTTTACAGTTTTTTTTCTGTATTGAAAATTATATAAAGCGTAATGGGTAAATGAGCAGGTTATTTTCAAACATTTTCGATTAACAACAATATAATTTTCTGCAATAATTAAAAATGAACTTGAAATACAAAGTTATCACAATGAAAATAAGGTATCGATATGTAAAACACGAAAATCGATGTGGTTGGAGAAGAGCCGTAGATTGTGTAGTGCACACATCACATCACTATCCGTCAGTGTTGCCAGTGCTAGGACAATTGCCGTATTCTACGGCTTTCGGGCCAACAAATTACAATATCTATGACTTATGGCCTATTTTGTGTTAAAATGAAAGCTTTTTATTATGTTGAATAATAAATAAGTATAACGTATGGCCGTAGCAGATTCTAAGACTTTTCGAAAATCTACAGTAAATATTTTTTTTTTTTTAATAAATGAAAATTAATAAAATAAAGAAAAGGAAACAAAGTAGTGCCACTTTTTCGAGACTTGGGGGACTTACTATATTGTGATTTTATAAAACAAAGTAGGATAAGTTGATCTCATTCCGTACGAACATTATTTTTTAACACTGTACATGGTCGGGTAAAAATTTTCATTGGCAACATTTCTCTCCCTGCTTGTTGTGATTTCGTATTCCGAGATTTTCATTTGCCAGAGAATTCGATTTTTCTCCGCGGCGGAGTAAGCACTGTGCAAAGATTTATGGCAGTTGTGGTATTTTCTGAATATCAAATTAATTTAGTTTAGTTGTGATTTGTGTATAACTGAGTATATTTACGAAAATGTCTCTGTTTGGTTCGCTAATGGGAGACGTGGAAGATGAATCGTTTTTTGGGTAAGTTTGTGTATTTCATCAAAAAATCTGAAATCCATGTGCATGTATTTTTCAAATAATGTATACTGAAATAATTGGTATTGATTGTTCAAAAATTTACATATCTCAAAAAGATATAACTGCGTGCTGATTTTGCGAAAGTAACTTGTTACTAAGCACAGCGCCCTGATATAATATTTTGTCTAATTTAGCGTCATTTTTTCCGTCTTTGTCTTAATTATCAATTTTGGTCGCATACAAGGGATACTTGTCCAAATAATTACCATTTCATTCTATAAATTTGCTTTTCATAACCTTGATATTAGAAAAGAAGAATTAAGATCAATACATAACATTTTTTACATGATTTTGTGTAATAGTGAATACTGAAACCTGAATGATGATTATTATGTACTAACTAGCTATTGCTCGCGACTTCGCCCACTAGAATTAACAATTATAGCCTATGTTACTCTGTGATACCTATGTAGCTTTTAAATGGTGAAAGAATTTTTAATATCAGCTCAGTAGGTATATATATGTATAGATAAAAGTGTCCTGTCAAGTCTACAGAGGTAAAGGAAGGCAGAATGTATGGATGGATTGTTGAAAGAGAACATTGATAAGATGGGAGTGTATTCAGATATGAAGGCTGATAAAGATATTTAACAGAGTAATACTAAGTACTGTGAAGCAGATGACCCAGCTCGCAGTTCATCCCAATTTGTTGCTAGGTAGTATAATTATGTTTTAAACCAAAAGCGAGTCCTTGAGCAGCTTATTAGATGTCACAGAGCAATTTATATTCTCAAACTCTGTGGCTTGCTTTCAACGGTAAAGGGTTAATTTAGTTATTAAGCTGAGTCTCGAGTACCTATCTGATTTAGTGACACTGCATTTCTACTAGTAAATATTTAAATGACGTTATTGTTTTGTTTAGATCGCAAATGAGCCACATGCGGCATATGAACAACATGATGAACTCGTTTCTGACGGACCCATTCAGCATGCTGGGAGGCGGCCCACTAGCTATTGGAGGGCCACACCATGGCAACTCCTTAATGCCCTTCATGCCGCAGATGCCACCAATCAACAGACTCTTTGGAGGCGGAAACTGTAAGTATCTACAATAATTTTGACTGTATTCTTTACTTTTTTAAAACAGAAGTTTTTAATAGAAAAAGTTGCGGCAGAAAAGGAAATTCATGATAATGTTCTTGCAACTTCTACAACATACATATTAAGCACTATTATTGCGGCAATCATAAACTTACATCACAATAGAAGTTTTACACAATTTTTATAGTCAAAGTTACAAAATATAAAATGTTTTCTGTTTAATAATTTGTCTCAATAAGTAAACATACAAAAACTATAATTTCACAATATTCAATTTTATATTCATCATCAAAACTCTATTCATATAAATATTATAAATGCGAAAACGATGGATGAATGGATGTTTGTTAGCATTTGTAGACTAAACAGCTAAACGGATCTCCATGAAATTTGGCACAGGTTTAGAGCATAGTCTGGAATAAAAATGGGATAATGTTCATCCCTGAGAATATCCGGTTCTCAAGCGATACGCAGTTTTTTGTTATTTATATAGTTCGTATGTTTTCTCATACCACGCGGACGAAGTCGCGGGCAACAGCTACTTTATCATAATTTAAAGAATAAAAAATCTGACATTCCTTTTCGCTCAGAATCGAACCCGGGACAAATTCAAATATGATTCAATAATTACTGTACCATAGGGTTGTGTCATGTACAACAAAAAGTAGTATCTTGTATCTATTCAAATCTATTCCGAAACTAGTTTGGTACTAAAATTAGAAGGTAAACGGATGTATTGTATTTGTGTATAATGTAGGTGTTACTGGCAGATATGAGTGTGCTTCTACGCCAATATGTCTTGATTCATCTTAACACATTGAATGCTAATATGACTTTATTGTACAAAGTGAACTTGTGGCAATAATATTTCATGTCTAAACTACTTAAATTTTATTAAAACACAATTATACTAGGTTTCATATAAATAGTCCTATTTTTTGGTAGATTATTAATAATAATAATAAAAAATTATGGATACTTTTGTATTTGAAAAAAAATTGGTGTTGCAAATTTTTTTTGGATGGTATGGGGATTTAAAATTTTAAGTAAAGCCATTTAATGGTATCTGCCCCTCCTAGACCTAGCTTAGATCATCACCATGGCGCGGTATATCTGCAATTGCGTCATAACATACTTAAAAAAAGTCCTTTTATTATGCCAAGGTCATTCACAAATATATTCTCACTGTCTGGTAAACAAACGGGACGTCGTAAACAAGTCGATATTGATAAACATGAGAGTAGAGAATAATGATCAAGTGACGACTGCCACAACCTGGTGATAGGGTTGGCATAAAACAAAATTAAGATAAAATGAAATATGATTTAGGACTTTTTAACAACACTATATAAAATTACCTAAAGTATCATACATAAAAAAGCAAAAATACCATTTTCTACATCCATATACATTTTACACTATTCCTGACAGAATAGAAAAGTTTCTCTCACAAGTTCTGATATCCTTGTTGCATTATGCTAACATAGTGTAACTAAAAACGACTGGTATGGTTCACATGATGGATATTTAGATGGATAGTTTAGTGTATGGCTACACTGTTTACTTGTGTCATGGTGTCATGCCAGCAAGTCAGTCGTGTCCGAGCCACCGACAGGAGCAGACGTCCCAAGCATACAGTACAGATAGATTGATGTTTGTTAGAGAACAAGAACATAGCCTGGAAAAAGACATTGGCTAATTACTTTTGTTTATTTTAATTCCACGCAGATTCACGGGCGAAAGGTAGTCATTGCAAAAATGCGATGAAATATTTGCTACAATTTCCAAGCTTTGACAGACGGCACTAGTTTTTACGTCGTACGATTAAAAATCGATTAAATACGATATACGATAATACGATTTAAAATCGTACAAAATTGTACAAAGTCGATAGTGTTTGGCAACCCTACTTAGTTACCCTGGTTGGTAAGTGTGTATCCCGAGATCGGAGATCGATCGACTGGGAAGGTCGTGGGACCGCTGCGCACATCGCGACTAGCGCTAGTACACCTTTTTGCGATGCTTTTAGCGTATTACTATTGTTTATTGCCTATTGTAGATTTTTTATGATTTCCTAAAAAGGAAACATTTAAGCTCGGGAATTCTTATCCTTTTTATTGCACACTAAGTAAATGGTTAAGTAAAATATATCATGCTTTAACATATAAAGTTCTAAATTGCGAAGTCTTGGATGTATGGATGTTTGTTACTTTGTATTTCCAAATAAGCTTAACAAATCGTGATAAGATTTAGAACATAGTCTGTATGAACACATAGGCTATTTACTAAGTATTTTTTAATTCCGCGCGGACGGATTCTCCGGTAAAAGCTATAAGATATAAATAAATTTGACTCTCTCACTCTCTTCCTAACATTTAACCAATATGGTTTTTGCATCAGTTTTCTTGGTGTTGTCTTTCAATAAATAAATTTGACTAAAGATAAAAATATTATTTACGAGCTGTTGCCCGCGACTTCGTCCGCGTGGTATTCGAAAACATAAATCTATGTAAATTACAAAAAGCTACGTATCCCTCGGGAACCGGACATTTCTCGGGGATGAAGCTTATCTCATGTGTCCTCCAGACTTTGTTTTATATCTATGCCAAATTTCAATAAGATATATTGAACCGTTGCAGAATGATCGAATAAACATTAAAAAACTAAATAAATAAATCACACGGGAACCGTAACTATTCCCGGGATAAAAAGTAGCCTATGTGTTCTTCCAGACTATACTCTAAACCTGTGCCAAATTTCATGGAGATCCGTACAGCCGTTTAGGCTACAAACGCTAACAAACATCTATCCATCCATCCATCCATCTATCCATCCATCCATCTAAACTTTCGCATTTATAATATTAGTATGATGACCTTGTTGAACATTAGCGTTTTCAACAATTTCATGAATTTATTCCTATGTCACATAAGTGTCATGGAGTGGCATTGAAGGTGTTAATATGTGGTTTCAGTTATGAGCGGGCCGATGGGCGTCGGCACTTCCTTCAGCAGGAGCACCATTGTGATGTCTAGTGGACCCAACGGCCAACCTCAGGTAACTCGGAATACTATACCAGCTTACAAACCATAGACAAATAATGATATAAAACTTTTTAATTTTTACATATTTCTGTTGTAACACTTTTGTTTGCATAATCATAACATCAGCTGTTTTTTACAACATAATTTCATTTTTATTTTAACTTTAAAATTAACTACCTGTTGCTCACGACTTCATCCGCGTGAGATTAAAAAAATCATAGCCTATGTTTTATGATATGATTTTTGAAATTAGCCCAGTACTTTTTGAGTTATTTAAATACATGCAAATCTTTCCTCTTTTTAATATTAGTATAGATATATAAAAAAAAATGGTTTCTTTAATTTTGACGTGATTTTATGTAATTTATAGTTTTAATCAAAACAAACTAAAAAAATCGTTTAATTATCATATTTCAAATTATATTATAATAATGATAGTGCCCTCATAACAGTACCTCCTCTCCAGGTTATCAGCTCGTCCAGCAGCACCAAGTACGGCCCCAACGGCATCAAGGAGACGCGCAACACCATGCAGGACTCCCGCACTGGCACCAAGAAGATGTCCATTGGTAAGTTATTCAATGAACACCCTGTATCTTATATAACCTGTATATCTGAACAATTTTTAAGATATTAAAACAGTAGATTTTGTTTTAAGACATGTGAACAACCTGTATATATATAAAACTTTTTAGGTTTGATATACATGTGTTACAAGATTATTAAATTACGTTATGTTTATAATTATGTACCAGCATTAACTATATTATGTACTAGATGTTGCTCGCGATTTCGTCCGTTTGAAAAAATAGTAAAAATATAGCTTAAGTTACTCACTGATAACGTAGTTTTTAATAGCGAAAGAATTTTTTATATCCGTCCAGTAGTTTTTGAGTTATTTCAATACATTCAAAAATACAATTATCTCATCAAGTTATACTCACATGAAATAAAACAAATATGAGGTCACGAAATTAACGCACAGACTCGAATTGTATTGCTAAAATGTGAGTAAGGTAAACGTGACGTCACGTATTGCTATAATTCCATAGTAGTAAATGTCAACACTAGAGAACCTATCGTTTTGTATAACAGTAGCTTTTGCCCGCGACCCCATCCGCATGATATTTAAAAATAATAATAAAGAAATGAAAAAATATAGCCTATGTAACTCACAGATTTACGTACCTTTCTAATGGCGAAAGAATTTTTAATAGTAGTTTTTGCGTGAATCAAATACATACAAAAATACAAATATTTCCTCTTTATGCTATTAGAATAGATATATATTTTCCAGAAACATTTGTGTTGGATTTAAAAAAACACAATCGTTTATTAAACTTTAAATAATCGAGACCACAGTAGTTTACAAATGGCATTTATTTGTTACTAACTGTTCCCGTCCGAATCCTTGCGCATGAAAGTATGAAAACGCTATTTATCAAATTCTCAATTGCAAATGTCAAAATATCAATTACCTTACTATTGCAATCTTGTTTCCTTGATGTTGGCAGCAACTTATGGTCTCTTTCCCACATTAGGGCTTTTATTCAAAATATTTACCACTTACTTTAATGGCGTGAAAATATGTAGCTTAAAGCGTGATGTAAGTGTAAGGCTTTTTATTTAAAGAAATAATTGTTTAAAAATATGCTGTAATTGCTGACATCTTAGGCAACACAGAAGCGTGTATTTACGCTTTATTATAATAGTATAGATGGAAAATATAAAAATCGAAATGGAGGCTGTACAAAATTGTTGGACGCCTAATTTTATTCTACTTGTTTTCTCTGTTTTAAAGAAAGGATGGTAGGATAGTGGAAGTCGCAGAGGTAGGGGAAACATCCTCTTGTCTTCCGTCTTCTGTTCCATTAGCAACAATTGCTACGTTATTTTGGCGCATGCTTGTAGAAACAGGGTTAATTTATCTTAGATTTGATTACTAAGTTAGTTGTTGACTTACTATAAGTCCCCACCGAGGGGTTCGGAGCCTACCCTAAGTTAGGGTGACTAGGTCATAAATCAACTACGCTGCACTGTTGGTTGACTTCACACATATCTTTGAATTTCTTCGCCGATATGTGCAGACATCATGATGTTTTCCTTCACCGTAAGAACGTCGGGTACATTATGTACATAAGAAAAATCGAAAATCACATTGGTACAGCGGGATTCGAACCCAAGACCAAGTGCTAAACCACTGAACCACTGACGCTTTTGTATGGATGGATAACTAAGTGTTCTGTTTATATCTTCAGGCCACCACATCGGCGAGCGCGCTCACCTCATAGAACGCGAGCAGAACTATTACTCCGGAGACGCGGAGGAGCGCCAGGAGTTCATCAACATTGAGGAGGAGGAAGCTGAGGAGTTTGATAGGTGAGGGAACTTGGATGGTTTTGTAAGGTACAGTCGCGGAAAGCCGCGGTCTAACACTTACAGAAAAATGCCAATCAATGCAATCTCTTGCAATGAGACAAACTGCCTCTTATAGATAACTAATTTAAAAGCAATAAATAGTAATTGACAGGATTAAAAAAAAACAATTATCCGTGTACCAATAACTAATATTTTTATTTCAAATATTTAAAAGCTGCGTATTAGGTATTTTTCTGCATTGTCTCTATGTCAACTGTAGCTTTTTAATCGAATACCAACAAATTTCATGATTGTATTTTGACTTTACTAAATTATTACTTCACGAAGCAAGTGCACTGCTTAATTTTAATTCTATTGAAGTGATAATATATGCTTTAAATTGGTATTTTTACAGTTTTTTTTAAATATAAGGTAGCAAACGAGCAAGCGGCCACCTGCATCCACCGAAATGGAAAGCGACCGCTGCCCATAGACATCCGCAATTGCAGATGCGTTGCCTACCCTTCATTGACGGAGGAGGAGACACACATAAAAAGAATATTTCCCCATCCTATGCGTTTCCTCCACCGTCAAATCCACTTTTCCTTCCCATCCTTTCCTCTTAAGAAAAGGGTCGAAAGGGAAACGGACTAAAATTTGGTCTCCGGCACCACACACTCATCAGACGGAATTGCTTCCACTTCACGCCTGTTTTCTGTGTGGTCGTGGTATTACACCGGGCGTGCCGGCCCATTCGTGCGAAGATATTAAAGCGGGCACTACCGCTGTTAAACCACTGTTGTATTTTTAACATTCCCTGTGTGATATTTTTCAGGGAGTTCCAAACGAAGGCAGGTTCTGGTCAGATGCGTTCCCGCGAAGCTATCGCTGGACGGCGCTCCCCGCCGCGTCTCGCGCTGCCCGCGCCGCCCGCGCCGCCCGCGCCCGCCACGTCCGCCGGGTATGTGCACTACATACACACACAAATATTATACATAATATGTACAGTCGGGGAAATCCGCGGTGTGCCACTTTGAAAAATTTTGACTTGTTCTAAAATGTACTGGAAATAAGACAGTTTGTCCAGTATTATATTATAAACTAGCTGTTTCCGTGCGATTTCATCAGCATAAAATTGTTTTATTATATGCATGTGTCTAATTGTCAATAGCAAATGTCAAAATGACAGGACATGACAGAACTCGGCAATCTTGCTTCCTTGATGTTGACAGCAACTTATGGTCTCTTTCCCACATTAGGGTTTTTATCCAAAATATTTACCCCCTAAGTTTAATTGCGTGAAAATATATAGCCTAAAGCGTGACGTAAGTGTAGGGCTTTTAATTAAAAAAAGAATTATTCAAAAATATGCTGTAATTGCTGACATCTTAGGCAACAAAGAAGTGTGTGTTTACGCTTTATTATAATAGTATAGCCAATTATGTAGCAATGATTTGCATAAATGACGGGATACCAAAAAATTAGACGTGAACGTTGTCTTTTTATTTGTCTGTATTGATGTGCGTTATTCGTAGGATATGATTGTCTATGCAATGAACAAGGTATACTAAAGTGTGACACCGCGTATTTCCGCGATTGTACCTGCTATGTACACTACGTGATTTACATGAATACAATACTCTTGTAGAATTTGAATTTTATTTATGTTTTTTGTATTTGTGAGCATGTTTAGATGTTTCAAATATTTAGCTTGTAGTTAAATGCTTTTTTCTTAGTATTATATTTCTATTTATTTTATCTTCGTCTGGCTGGTTTTTGTATGTATAAAATGGATGTTTTTCAAAATATAAGAATTTTTATTGTACGTAATGTCAGCCAGAAGGGATTCCTTCGGTAGGGGCACATTGTTATTTTTAGTCAGAGATTCAAAAGTAAATAGAGTAGGCAGAGTTGACACTTTTCACATAATTACTAGCGCTACCTGATTTAGTTAGAATCACAAATAATTAAAATACTAAGATGCGTCTCTGCGTATCAACATCGAGATATTACCATAAAAAGTTACCAGTGGAAAAATGTTTCCTATGTCTTATCTATATATTCTTTGAATGTCTTCGTTATTAGTGTTTCTAGATTTTTGGTATAGCGATAGGAAAATCTGGAATAGGGGATTCGATTTTTATTCTATAGGAAGTGGGTAACAGCTAGTATGAGTTGAGGTGTTTGTTTGTTGTATGGTAGTATGTGGTAGTTTATGGTAATTTGTGGTAGAATGTGGTAGTTTATGGTAGAATGTGGTAGTTTGTGGTAGAATGTGGTAGCATGTGGTAGCGAGGCAGTGAGCACGTGGCAGGTTGCAGGGCGCGCCGGGCGAGCAGCCGCCGCACGCCGCGCGCCGCCGCCAGCCCGCTCGCTGCGCACGCGCACCATTCCAGGTAACATACAGGACACATCACTCAAACACATCAAAAAGTGCCCAATTTCTTACCACATTAATATACCATTTTAGTTTGTAAATGACTAAAATGGTCAATACTAGTAATTTTGGTTTATTAATGATATTTATAAAATATTGCACTTGTAATAACTAAGCAACTAATGCGTATACAAACTTCAGAATTACCGCATTTTTAAATTTGTTTATAATGTAAATTAACTGGTATTTACACAGAACACAAAATAATCGCACAATTGTAATATTACATATTCGATATTACAGATATTGGAGACGGCGCTACTATTAAACATAGTAATTTATATATATTTACTATTTACTATTTCCTCGCTGTATGTATGGCTATTTAGTGTTGACATTTTCAAACTACGCATGAAGCTTTTGTAGTTTTTAGCCCATTTTAATCTTAGCAATATTTAAAAATAATTAAGAAATGGTTTTGATGCTTTATTCTGATTTGATTTTTTCTTAAATTTGAATCGGAATAAAAAATACTTATAGATATGTAATCTATAGATGGATTTCTTATAATTTTGTCATCTATATTAGAAGTCAAAATGTAATTTTGCATTATAATTGAAAATACTGAAGGAATTTACTTCAAAAAGGGATTTTTAAGTGTTTTTGTCTCAATTTTATGCTTTAGATTAGATATCTATAGATTATGCATCTATGTTATTTAACAATTTAACTAATTACATAACGCACAATAACAATTGTAATTCCTATTATAATATTAAATTTGACTACATTTGGTCTTTAAAAAATTACATAAGACATCTGAAAAGGATTTTTATGGTCCTAAGACAAGGGTTAAGTTATTCCCATAGATTACTTTGTATCGGGTTGTATACTGAAACGACATTAACATCGTCTTATCCCATGTTTGAACTAATTCCATTAAAATGTACATCTGTCGTTGAAAGCGTTTGTCGTCATCAAAGTGTTTAAATTCGTTTCAATATTCGGCTGTATATATTGTTTTCGCCCGCGATACTGTTTGCGAGAAATTAAAAAAAAAGTAAGTAGCCTATGTGCTCTTCCAGACCATTCTCTACATTCCAATTTTCATCGTGATCTGTTCAGCAGTTTAGGCTACAAACTCTAATAAACTTATCCAAACTTACGTATACTAACTGTTTTTTGCGACTTCGCCCGTGAAATCCTATGTAACTTACTGATAACGTGTCTTTCTAATGGTGAAAGATTGAAATCGTCTCAGTTATTATTGAGTTATAAATCTAACAATAAAGTACTAATTTTATTAAGAGGAAATATTTGGATTTTTGTACGTATTGAAATAACTCAAAAACTACTGGATTTTAAAAATCCTTCACCGTTAAATAGCTACGTTTTCAGTAACATTGTCTATTTTTTTTTTCAATCAAAACGCGGGCGAAATCGCGAACAACAGCTTGTATTAGTAAAGATTAGTAAAATTTAATGTTACTGTTTATTCCAGTCCGAGTGTCCGCGACGTGTACGGCACTCCGCACCCCAAGCGTCAGCGACACAAGCACGTCAACCGACACCGACATGCTGACAACTGAGCACTGACACCGACACCGACACCGACAGATATACTGACATTACACCACACAAATACTATCAAGGATTTACCAATGTTCTATAAAATGTACAGTCGCGGAAATCTGCACTGTTACTCTTATGTGGTTTGTTTATTGACCGATTTCCCAAAAGAAGGAGGTACTCAATTCGTCTGTATGTTTTTTTATGTGTTACGGTATGACTCCGCCGCTAGTGGACCGATCTTGATAATTCTTTTTTATCCGAAAGGTAGTGCAGGTGGGTCCCATTTTTACGAGACAATCTGCACTTCCTATAAATAACTAATAAGTGCTAACTAAGGTATAACTAAAAAAAACTATCCATGTACTAACTGACATTTTTGTACTTATAAGCATTGTATTTTGTTCTACGTCTCGTTTCTAAATTTTCAAATGATTGTAGTATTTACGGAACATGGACAGTTTGCTTGATTGTACAATGAGGAAATCTGGTCGTATTTCAATTTAAAAGCTACGATAGTTACAGAATCGGAACAATAACCAATAATGTACCTTTTAAATTAGGAAAAAATAGTTTTATATGGATAATTGGTTTTTATTATCCTTTCGTTTGTGCAACTACCTAATTGGATAAGGAATAAGGCGAGTTTGTGAAAGTAAAACACCGTGCGTTTCCGCGATTGTACTTCTGATACTATTGTAATGTCTAGACGAGGTGAGCTGTCAAATATGACCAATAATTTATTTTGTCTTTTTTTCTGTCGAGTTTTAAGTATTAATTTGTGATTTTCAACGTTTCTGTTTGAAAAAATACTATTTTTCTTACATTCTAAAATTTCTTTGATTTTATTTGAACGTTTAAATATGGCAGCGTTTTTTACACTTTAAATGCGACATTTTGACGCATTGATCGTGTTAAGGTAATTTTGTTGTTAACTCAGAAAGACGGTAGATTGAAATTTCTATTAATTATGTCTACCTACAATAATGTAGTTTTAAACTTAAGTGCGAAATATTAAAAATATAAACTATACGACTAATGTATGGGTTTTATATTAAACCGTATTTTGTAGGTAATAAGATTCAATTTCGTACAAATAGTTTATGTTTTAGACAAACTGACGGAGTTTCCGTTTATTTTTTTTTATAAGAAAAGCGGGCAAACGAGCAACGGATCGCTTGATATTAAGTTATTTAAACTTGTGACGATGAGGCAAATATCTTGATATTAACTTGAAATAGAATAAAACTTTATTGTTAAGGAAATAAGGTTTTTCAATAGATCCTATATCACCCCACCTTTAGGTAATTTCTGTTTTAGAAGCATTTTTTTGTTAATTCAGATTTTTAGTAATTTTTAAAAATATGTGAAAGTTTAATATCTTTTGAATAAAGGGCATTATTAAATTTTATCTTACTTAAAATTATTAGAGATAAATTTTACTTGGCTTTTTTCATCTTAATATGACTTTAAGTATGTCTGTGTTTGTAACTTCAGTGACGGGTATTTTTGGACCACTGATCTCTATGGACAGGCTATTTTATGCATATTTGATTTTCGCCATTTTAGCTCTGATGGTGTTTCGTCACAACATTACTAGGCGCGTTAAAAAAACGGAACCTAGCACGAAAATTTCCAAACTAGAGTGATTATGTCGATGCTTTCTTGAAAATTTTCGTGCTATACTCCAAGTCGTTATTGTTATCAACGACTTTTTCTTCGTTCCAAAACTCGCGAAAAGGCGTTACTGAGAGTTTTCTTTCTCTATCGTTCGTTAAATTGGTGAAAATCAACTAAGCACAAAAAAAAACTGTCTATTTTCTGTTCAGTGTTTTTGACCCATTTCTCAATAGTTTTAATTTAGTATGAATAAGATTAGATGTAATATTTGAAACTAGCTAAAATACTTTTATGTATATTGTCTTTCAATAAAAAAACCTATGACAATATTGATACAAGTGTTTGAATAGCTGAAATAAATGTAACCGGAATTGGCACGTCGGCTAGTACAGTGTACATGTTTCCGACGTGCCAAGTTAAATGTGAATAGGTCTTGTAAAAATCAATGTCAGTAGAAAGTGGATTCCAATACAATTTTATTGTTGGATGTTATTTATGATATTCAAATAAAGATATGAAATCTATTTGGTGTTTTATTTAACCTTTGTTGTTTGCGTGTCAAATATATAATTTTTTTAAGGAATTTGAAATATCTAACCGTGGTTTACTAGAACTCCAAAATAATGACTAAAATGTATTGTCTGACATTTTTAAATTCAGTCAATTTCTTTAGGGTATATGGTTTTTTAATCCATCTTCTTAATATTATAAATGCGAAAGTTTAGACGGATTTTTGTTAGAGTTTGTAGCCTAAACGGCTGAACGGATTTCGATGTAATTTGTCTGGAAGAACACATAGGCTACACGTTTTTGTTTTTTTTTAATTCCTCGCGGACGGAGTCGCCAGGCGAAGGCTAGTAGGAAATAAATCTATACAAAAGTGGTTTTTAACATTTTATTAAATAACTTTGAATACTCAGTTGTAGCAAATATACGAAATTATGGTAACAAATATGTCTTGGTTAATACTCGATTACTCAATATGTAGAAAAATTTGTATTTACATATTAACATTGCAAAGATTTTAAATAACTCGATAAAATCTAATTTTAGTATAACCAGGAATATAAAAATGGCCAATCGCCTTTTTTTTATTTTCTTGTTTTTTTTTGCCATATGACGAAGGTTTTATATTCCTGATCAAACTCATTTTTTAGTAAATATATCACTAGGTTTAGCTTTTTAGGTACACTCCGTTAATAGCAGTCTATCGTTTAACATATTTTTAAATACCCACATTATCGACCTTTACAATAACAGTAAAAAATATTTATAACCAAAATCTATTATTTCATAAATTGCTTCTAGGGATTTCGTAAACAAATGTATCACATCAAACAAAATGCAATAATTTGGAAACTAAATCCTTATATGGGATAGGACAAATAATTTTACAATAAGGAAATTTAAGACTTTAAAAAAGTAAAAAAACGTAGTCTCAATAAATGCCTTTATATGACCATTTAATAATATTTGATTTTAATTTTCTAATTCGCTAAATAAGACTGTGCAAGGGAATGAAAATTTGACCATTTTAATAAATTGTAAAATACTACAAATTCAAATTTGTTTTCGATGGTAAAATTATGTTCTTTGATATTTTTCAATCTACTAAATATAAAAACAAACAAACCTATCGTTTTCGTTGCAGAAATTGCACTCGGAGAAGATGGAAAAATAAAATCTTCATAACATTTTCATAAATATCTTTAAAGGTATTAGCTATTTTTTGTTTCATGTTAGCTTGTTTTCTTCGTATGTGTTCATCGATCAATAAAACTATCACTTTTTAAAAAGGCTTTTTTGAAAGTTTTGCGTTTTTATCTAACAAAATAAATACAAACATTTAAAAGAATGAAAATAATAAAACTGCGTATTCAGTCAAATAATATATTTAAGTAAAATATAAACCAATAGGTACGTCAAATAAAGAATTAAGTACAATTTAAAAAAAAAGTATATAAAAAAAATCTTAATTTATTAAGAAAAAAAAACTAATTTCAAAATAAACCCATTACCGATTTGAAATATAATAAAAAAAATCTTTTAATTAAGAAAACAACATTAAAAGACAAAGCAACAAACAACAACAAACAACAACAAACAAATGTTGCGTGTTGGCGCGGATTGGCGGCCATGTTGCCGCCGTCACGCGCCTGTCAGAGACACATGCGGCAAATGTCATCGTTGATTTCCAGCAGCTGGTCGATGAAGCTCTGGTCGGAGATCACCACCGCCAGCCGGCAGATAATACTCCGTAACTCACCTTTCTTGTAATTCAACAGCGCGTTGCAAATATCCACTTTCTCGGATATCGATTTTGGTATCTGTTAAAGTGACATAGATTAAAACATACGTAATTTATAATCTGTTATTAGCCATAAAGCATTTATTACCCAATCTTTAGGAATATTATCTACAAGATTTCGTCTGCGACTCCATCCAAGTGGAATAAAAAAGAAAAATTAAGTAGCCTATGTGTTCTACACATGACCATATAACTATAGAGTCAAATGGTCGAAATTTATGCCAAATTTCATCGAGATTCGTTCTGCCGTTTAAACTAACATCCATCCATCTAAACATTCTCATTTATTATATTAGTAAGATGTATATAGATTTATGAGTTACTTTTTAAATTGTTATTATTTTAGGATTTATTCAGGCTTGGTCAAGAAGGTAATATGGTCTCATTCAAAGAAATTTTTATATCAATTTTACATTTTTTTCAGTTCTTATTCCAACCGACGACGCCCATGCGTGTCGAATTTACTCACGTTATCGATCGAAATAAAATAGATAGGTATTCATTAAAATATGAATTAATCAAAACATTTGATTATAGTGTGCGTGGAACTGACAATCAGTTATTACAGAAAGTCATTTGCATTCCCATAACATCGTTGAAACAAATACATTATTTATTAGACAATTACTACGACATAGATAACAAAAACTTATGTTTTATTCAGATACCGAGTTTAATATGTTATAAAATTTATAAGTTGGAGTAAAAATAGATATCAAATAGAAAATAACGATATTATTTTTCGATATATCTTATTTTTAAGCACAAAAGTGACAACACAAAATTCAATTGTATAATATGTCTATGTGTATCTATACTAATATTATAACGAGGAAAAGATTGTATTTTAGGATTTTTGTATGTATTGAAATAACTCAAAAACTATTTGGCTGATTTCAATTCTTTCACTATTAGAAAGGTAATTTATCTGTCAGTAACATAGGGTATATTTTTTATTAATTTTTAATTTCAATCGGACGAAGTCGCGAACAATAGCTAGTAGTTATTAATTTCAGAAATTCAACTTAGAAATTTTCAATCCCTAGATACTCTAAACTATGTTGCGAGGTCGTAAAGTACTAAACTAAGTTTCCAACTATAACACAATTTAACTTCTAACATGAGTTTTGTTTGTAATGCATACGTAACTATATTGTTAATATAATGCAAGTAATTTTAAATGTATAATCATACTAATATTATAAATGCGAAAGTTTAGATGGATGTTTGTTAGAGTTTGTAGACTGAACAGCTGAACGGATTTCTATAAAATTTTGCATAGATATAGAAGATAGTCTGGAAGAACACATAGGCTACTTTGTTTTTTAGTTTCGCTCGGACGGAGTCTCGGTCGAAAGCTAGTATAGAAAAAAATAGAAGTTTAGCGCGTGTAGGAATATTTGTTTTGTAAATTGTTTGCAATAAATGTTTATTCTCAATCACAACTCATAAGTTATGTTAATGTTGTGGTCGTATTGTGAAAGAAGACATTTTATAAAATGTCTGTTATGACAAAAATATTGAGAGAACTCTCATAAAATGACGATGACATGACGTGTTTTTATATGAGTTTTAGATAATGGAAAACCACGACTGGAATGTTTAAAGCCAGTGGATATTTACTTGCACCAACAACTTAAATTAATGTCATTTGAATCAAAATTAAATTCTCAAGTACTATCGTTTATGAGGCTAGATGCTGCGCTTTATCAACGGAAATACAATTAAAAAGCGTAGTTAATGGTATAATATAATTGAATGCTTATCAAAGAGCGCTTGTGCAATCACGAGACAAAGTCAAACAGCGACACGTGCAAGTTACGCAAGCGTTTACATTGACACGCACTGTTATGCTTCAAAACATTACATCCGTACGTTCTAACACATAGAAACAGCCGGGACTATTGAGTGCCTGCATTAGTTACAGTAACAGTAACAAGTTTAAAGTATTACGTTTCCTAACCATGTGGTGTTAAGTAGTGAAATAGTGACGTTGCCGATACTCACAGCATCCGGATCGATAAAGGTGTTGAACTTATATTTGGTCTTATGTTTCTCAGTGCCTGTGTCGAAGAACAGCGTGAACTGCGCGTCCTTGCCGCGGCCCCCCACCGGGAAATAGAGCCCGGCTATGAGGTGGCCTTTCTGGTCGCGGGCAAGTAGACTCCTGGAGCGAAAAACTTTTGCTTATATTTATGAATTTACTATTTTGTCGAATCATGCCACTGATTCAGACATAAAGAAACTGTTGTGATATACAGATGTCGCTCACCTGAAGTTGTAGACGAGGTTCCTGCGCTCGGTGACGTTGACGCCATCGAGGTAGGGCCTGGCGACGTACACGAGCGAGGTCTGGCATTTGAGGTTGGTGCCGCGCGCCTCGCGCTCGCTCCACTCCACGTAGCCG